CAAAATAACTTAGAGGTGCAACACGAAACGATAGAAATGGTAGAAGAATTCTGCTACTTAGGATCACTGGTAGACTACAAAAATATCACATCCAACGAGATAAAAAAAAGAATATGCGTGGCTAACCGCTGTTATTTCGGCCTGGGCCCTCACTAAGAGCGAGAAGTATGTCAATAACAACAAAGTGCAAACTTTATAAAAACAATAATACGCCCAGTGCTCACATACGGATCGGAAACATGGACAATGACGACCCGAGATGAAGAGTTACTACGAGTCTTTGAAAGAAAAGTATTGAGGACCATATTTGGCGGAGTAAACGAACAGGGTCTGTGGAGAAGGCGATATAACTTTGAACTCTATAGACTTTTTGGTGATGCATATATTGTGAAGACCATCAAGATAAACCGCTTAAGGTGGGTGGGCCACGTTATGCGGATGGATGAGAGTGATCCCACTAAAATAAACTATGCTAAATAGGCCGGTCGCAAGAAGAAGAAGGGGGCGACCTAAACTCAGATATCTGGACGATGTACAGGAAGATCTGAGGGAGATTGGAGTGAGGGGCTGGAGAAGACAGACACTCGATAGGGAAGGATGGAAGAATGTTTTGAAGCAGGCCAAGGCTCACGAAGGGCTGTAGCGCCAACTGATGATGAGATGACATTGATATAGTAACACTGACAAAAAGAGACCTGATACAGGCTTTTGAAACATTAGAAGAAGCCACGAAGACAATGGGACTGCAGGTCAACGTATCCAAAACAAAATACATGAAGGTCACGAACAGCACACAAATAGCGGCACCACAAGATCTGATGACAAAAGCACACACATTTGAAGAGCTCTCGGAGTTTATATATCTTGGAACACAACTAAATAACAGCAACCTAGTAAGCGTAGCAATTAAGAGAAGAATATACCTGGCGAACAGAGCTTACTTTGGACTAAAGCAGTTCTTAACATCACACATAATTAGCAGAAAAACCGAGATACTAATATATGAAACTCTTATTAAAACTGTCCTGGCATACGCGTCAGAGACATGGACTATGGTAAAAAGCGACGAAGAACTGTTAGGCCGCTTTGAAAGAAGAATACTTAGACACATATATGGAGGAGTACAATATATGCGCTACAATTTTGAGTTGTATCAATACTATGAAAAATGCAACATCGTCCGGTCTATTAATTGAAAAAATGAACACTGGAGACCCCCAAAGACAGATTATATCAAGAACCAGTAAGAACCAGGAAGAGAGGTAGGCCAAGATCTAGATTTAAAACGCAAGTCGAAGATGACTTGAGGAATCTAGAGGTCAGAAATTGGAAAGCCAGTGCGAAAGATAGGGGGAATAGAGACTAACTCTTGAACAGGCCAAGGCCCACCCAGAGTTGTAGAGCCAAAGATGATGATGATTAACTGGGATTTGCTGTCTGTTGCTTTATCTCTACAAAATGGACCTATTCGTTATTTAAATCGGAACCCAGATATATAGCTCTCAATTTTTTTTTAATTTTTTGATTGTATTTCTACGGCAGAGAACCAGGTGTATATAGCAAGATATATTTTTTTGAAAGGTCTATAGGCGTTAAAGTTCGTTGTTATACATGTATCCAATTATGAAGAGAATATATTGAATAATAAAATACTTTAACATTCAAATTTTGTTTGCTTCCATAGTAGGCTAACACATTTTTCAGTGCATCCTCGTAAATAGTTTAGACAGTTTTATATCCTTATGTTAAAGCTTTCTACTGTGTAATTTGATTGCTGTAATAGATAAATAACGACATGTGTATGTATTTATATGATTATAATTTACGAACTCGAAATGCATTATTAGTTATTTGGTTTCCTTGTAGATTAAAAGTTATATCAAAGTTGAGAAAATATTAACTTAACAGTTTCCGTTACGTTAGGTATATCCGGGGCTGTCAGGACGGATAAGACTCACTAAAGTTAACAGTCTTAACATTTTTTCGTTTTTATCATTCACCTAATCAAAATTTGTGGAACATTGTTTATTTAAAACAATATAATCCGCTGTAAGGTAGACAATTTATGATAGGACAAAAATAAATACCTGGGAGATTTCGAAATTGTGAGAGTCACTTTGCTTTTGTTTTATTTTTAAACAGAGGTTATTATAAAATGCTAGTTATTTTATATTTTAATACGAAAAAACTCGACAAACTGAATTTTATATATAGCAATTACTTTAACTTACACACTAATGATTATGTTCTATAAAGAAGCATATTACATAAGATTATGTTAAAAAATAAAATAGAACAAGATATTTAAGTTTTAAAATTATTGAAAAACGAATTCATATGGGCCATAATTATCACTAAAAGGTTTCTTCTCCGTCTTCTTTTCTATACAAAAATTTTCCTTGTTCATTGGTGTATTGATGTCTCTATGGAAGATTGTTATTCCATCTTTCGTGCGATCTAATGATACTTCTACGGTGTGGTGGTTTGTTTGTCGTTATGTTGACCAGCCTGGCGTCCTCCATTTTACTTATGTAATTATGCCATTCTATTTTCCTTTCTCAGTGTCCACTCGTTTGTTTCTCGTACTATGGACATTTTCTTCTGATGTCTTCACTCCGTATTCGATGTCTCACCATATTTCCTGTAATTCCTCTCGGTATTATCATCTGCGCCGTCTCCAAGAGCTTATGTTTTGAATATCTGGAGTGTTGTTTCTAATGTACGAGGGTGGATTGATATAAAACTAGCCTTTAATAGAAAGAAAAACAGATTTTTTGAATTAAATCGATTTATTTCTGAATCATAGTCTCATTTTAGCTCGATACACTTAGTAAAAGACGATGTTCCAATTTTTCTATCCCATCCGAATAGTACTTTTGCCGGAGTTCTTCAAAATAGGCCGAAGTTTCAGCGCCGGCTTCACATTTGTCAGGAAAAAAATCGCTGGCGGCAAGATCTGTGGAATGCGGTGGGTATTCAACCAATTCATAGCCCCATTCGTGTAATTTTACCATGGCGACGGCAGATCGGTGAGCGGTGCATTGTTTTGGTGTGAAAAGAGCACTTTTTTGCGTTCAAAACCGGGGCGTTTTCGACGCAAACTCCCGGTACCGAATCGATCCATAATGCTACGTAGTACTCACCATTGATTGTTTTTCCAAGTAGTCGATGTGGATGATGCTCTTCGCATCCAGAAAACAGTCGCCATCACTTTGCTGGCCCGATATGTGCACTGTTTTGTCTCGTTCGGCGGGCCCTTCGCCACGTTTCCGCCACTGTTTTGACTGTTCTTTGGTTTCTGGTGTGATTATAATGAACCCAGGTTTTTATCAACGGTAATAAATCGGCGAAAAAAAATCCTTCAGATCGCGCCCGTATCATCGCCAAAAGCGTCTCCGAAGTGGTCACACGTTTTTCCATTGCATCGATTGTCAGCAAACGCGGCACCCATCGCGCGGAATAGCTTTTTCATGTCCAAATGATGGTGAATGATGTTGTGTACGCGTTCGTAGAGAAATGTTTAGGACCTCTATTAACTCGCGGAGCTTAATTCGACGATCTGCCATAATCATGTCATGGACTTTGTTGACCATTTCCGGCGCTCATCATCAAAAACACTCGTATGACCAACAAACAAGTTCAGCATTCCAAATTTTTTCTGTTGACTAACCGATGGTGCAACCTCACCATAAACTTCGACCAGGTCGGCTTTGATTTGCACATTCGTTTTACCCTTTTTGTGGAGGAACTTAATCACCAAACGATACTCGACTTTTTCCATTTCCCCGAAAACACAAAATTTGCTTGCTTTTGACGGCTGTAAAAACCAAACTAATTGTTTTTAAAAACTTATAATTTTGACGAGACGTTCATGTCATGAATGGCAAATGTCAACACCGAAACCGATTTCGGTATCAAGTAGCGCCATCTATCAAAGGCTAGTTTAATATCAATCTATCCTCGTATTAGTTCATTTTAGTGTTCATGTGTCAGTTTCACCATAAGGTGTTAATAAGGCGTTTACCAATTATTGTCATTTTGTATTTAAACTGTCACTTCACTCTAACAGTGTTACTCCTAGGTATTTGGTCTCCATTACTTACTCAATGTTGACGCCATCAAATTTCCAATTCACATCTAGTTGGTTCTTTACCAATTGCAGTTATTTTAAATCATACGGGAAATAGAACAGATCGAATACTGGGCTGAAGAAGTTTATTTAAATGCTGATGCTTTGTCAAGATGGCCATGCAGTGCAAAACACAATATCTTTTGTTTTGCTTTTCTGGTTTTTTGATGAATTCTTTGGTTTTTTTATTTAAATTCCAATTTTTCTTGTCCCTCTGTTTGGTGGGACATACCAATTCACGTGGTGCACCACACATAAGACATAACCATGGCTACTACCATGAAAAAGCCAGCATCTGCCTGAAAACCACAACTTCACATCAGACCCAAAATTCAGTTACAACCAAATTTTTAACTGCATGAAGCCAAAAAGTGCCTGAAGACTGCAACTTCACCTTATATCCGGAAGTGATAAGAATATATTTTGCCATACGTATATTTTCAGTTTCTTGTAAATATTTAGACATGATTTGCTCTTTGGTTGATATTAAATTCATTCCTTTATGTACAATAAATATGATTAAAATAGTTCAGATTTGTATTTAAGATAAGACGCATCTACACCTGAGATGCAGAACTAGTAGAAGCCCAAACAATTATCACCCAATGTTATAGGTAGTAACTCAACTCCTATTTCATTGGTGGTTTTGTTACACATTAAATCCTCACGTTGGGCGCCAATGTATGACAATATAACACCCAATGTTATAGATAGTAACTGCACTCTTATATATTGGTTGTTATATTATTACACAATCAGTATATTTTCTGAAGAAGTCGCCTATAGAAATTTTCACCTCAAAAATTAACTTGCTACTAGCTTATAAAAAAAATTAATATTTAAGCCTAAACAATGATATCAGATTACTTACCCATAACATCTTCTCCGTCTTCTAACAAGTACCCGTCATTTAAGAAACTAACGGTTTTCTCTGAGACGTGTACCATTCCAGGTTTTCCAGTAGACTCCATTTTATTTGCTAGAGTGACGTCATTGCTCCAAACATCGAACTTAAACCTTCTCGTACCAACGATCCCACATAAAACTTTGCCAGTGTGTATACCGACTCTCATATTGACACCTTCATTCTTCTCATGGTCGAACTGTTTAATAGCTTGAATCATACTCAATCCCATCTCGACGCAACACTGGGCATGATCCGACCTAGCTTCCGGACATCCACTGACGCAGTAATAACAATCACCTAAAGTAGATATTTTCTCACAATTGTGTATCTTACACAAAGAATCAAACCTTTGGAACAAGTTGTTGAGGATATCTACTAATTCTTCGGCACTTTTGCTACCGGACATTTTCGTAAAACCTACAATGTCTGCGAATAGTATACTGACGTTTTCCATGTTGTCCATGTTGAATGGTCGAAATAACGATCTAATATCATTGGTTGAGTCTGAGGATTGTCTTCTCGTAAAATTCTCGTCTTCCTTCTTTAACCAATCGGCAACACTTTTTGGCATAAGAGAATGAATCATGTTCTCTTTAAGTCTTTTTTCCAGCTCCAATTGTCGACGAACTAGCAGACTCTGGCCAACTTTCATAAACGTATTTCTACTTCTCACATTATTCATTAGGCAGATGTGAAAACCTATGAGATGTATAGCGAAATGACTGAGAATTTTTGCGCCCAAAGTTGATATATTAAAGTTGCCATTAGGTTCCAAAAAGTGGATCAGCAACTCATAAGCTACCGAATAAAAAAGTCCCAAAAAAAGACTGATATAAAGCTTGAGTGGTACAAGAGTATATAAAATAAATAACATTTGGATACACAGAGCGAAATTTCCCACAGGTAACAGTTGTACAACAACTAGGAATGTTAAACTCAACACAGTGAGGAGTACGGCTAAACCAGAAGTTAATGAAACCATGTTCTTGTCGAATGTTGTAGTGTATGTGAAAAGAGAGGGACGTAACTAAGCAGAAGATTAGTACCACAATGAGGCTGCAGACCAAATGCCAATGACGATCGTCTCCCAAAAAGCCGACTACTAGGAAATACGTTAGCCACGTCGTGGAAATCACAGTGAGATATATCAGAGCGTACCTGAAACAAAAATATTTCATATATATTTTTTTATATTATGGAAAATACTGTTTTTTAATTTACGAATGTTTATATTGCGATATGTAATATGTATATTAACAGAGAATCTATAAATATTGTCTTCTCTGGCCATAGTGATTCTTTTCGCGCCTAGTCCTGGTCGTCGTTCGTGAGATCCAGCGTCTACGAATCGTTGGTATGTTTTTTGGACCATAAAACGACTGACTCCAAGCTGTATGGCCACTTCTCTTTCTTGTAGCATGTAGAAAATTCCTTAACTATCAAAATATTCAAGTAATAAGAATTTTTCTAGTATGCCCCTGGGCGAGTATAAAATATTGCCGAGTCTTTGTGTTCATATTCTAAATTCCAGTTGTAACTGCGACTTTAAATATGATTTTATTTATTTGTACGTTCAGTTCTACAATGTTAAAAACTGGGAATGATTCGAGGTCAAATAGCGTGTTTGACAAGATTTTTGGGTTGTTTCGTTGCGAGAACGGGTTAGGAGGGAAAAGTGTGGCATAAGAAGCGGGTACAGAGATCGATCGAAGGTGGAAAGTTAGGTTTGCATGGTTGGTCATTGAGAACAGACGTCGGTATGTAGTTTGAAGAAGCCGGCAAAATTTGTTAGAAAAAGTGATTTATACTCAAAGTAATGTGTCAGTTCCGATAAGAGTAATCACTGTTTTTATTTGTAAGCCGTCCCTCATCTGAGATATTTATAAAAACGGCGTTTACAACAATTTTTAAAGATAACCACATTTTGCCATTGTGTTCAGTTGTACCTGTTCCAGTTTTTTAAGAAGCCGAGTCAAGTTAGGTTCAGTGCCCACTTTCAACTTTATTTGGTTTGTCCTATCGCAGTTTTTAGATTGAATTTGTTTGTTCGTGTGGCAGTGAATCTAACTCCAGTTCTAAGAGACAATTCCCAGAAAATTTAAAGTAATTTAGTGAAATCCAGGTAACTTTTTTTGAACTTTTAAAGTAAAAATAGACATTTTTTTATTAATAATTGCTTTCATAACTTATAAAAGAAGTTGTTAATAATTTAAAATTGTAGATTTTACGGTGTGGTCATATAATTTTATTCTCAGTTTTAAAATTCAGTATTGACATCTGACAGCTAGTTTAATTATTTTGACATTAGTTTGCTTTGGTTTTTTAAAGAAGGTTAACCACTATTCTTCTTCTTCTTAGGGTGTTCTGTCCGTTCCGAACGTTGGCGATCATTCTGGCTATGATGATTTTGTTGGTTGCTATATGAAATAGTTGTGTTGACGTCTTTCTATACCATTTAACCACTATGCATAGTTGAATTTAAAAAGATAATTTTTCATTTGTAATAAATTATTTCTGCTACAATTTGTCGCCCATTAACAATTGTAAGTTTTGTAGTATCTCCCACTTGTAAACGGAAGTTGTAAACGGATAGGACATAGGAAGTGTTTCTTTTTGTTATTGTATTTATTTTTGTAACTATTAATATATGAGAAATAGGACATAGTAAGTCTGTTTTTGATATTGATGTATTATCAATATTTGTAACTGTTTGTAGTGAGACAACAATAAATGTTTAATTTTTTTCCCTAAACCATTTTGTTTATTTATTTTAGAAAAGTCTCCTAACCTCTCTTTTGTGTTTTTTAGGGAGGAAGAACCTTTTCTTTCATCCAGCAGGAAGTTTCCTCGAAGCGGCGTCCCATTTTAAATTGCTAGAGGTCCCTCTTGTGGTTTTGTTTGTCCATTTGTCCAGGAGATTCATGTAAGTATCCCTTTGTTTCATTTTTGTAGTTACCCCAATCTAATCCCATTGTTTCATTCACTTATCCACGACCCAGTTTCTCCAAATAAACCCTGAGCGCTGTTCGCATAAATTTCGTTTATTTTGCTTGTCCTATCTCCACCCCAATAAATTCTGTCCCCAATTTTCAACCCCCCATAATAATATCCTATGTGGTAGGAAAAATATCACGTTACAAAGTCTCGTAGAGACTTTTATTATTTCTGTCGAATGGTTTTGGCAACGTGCTACTTCAGCTCAGCCACCGATTGAGGTGTAATTTTAAGTCCGCCTGGTAACCTCAGTAGTTTCTTACCCAATTCGTCACCAATTTTCAACCCCCCATAATAATAAGTAGTCAAAATATCCGTTACACTCTTTGACTCATTCCATTATCAATCAAAGTAACAATTTGCACAGATCTAGCACAGCTCTCAGCCATAGTTTTAAATTTAAAAATTGCACAAGTTCACTCTTTGAACAACTTATATACTACTAATGAAAGATTTTTGAAACAGAACACCATTTCGAAAAAACAACGTACAAACAACACGCGCATTCTCCGAAGTCGTAAAAGTGATATCAACTTTTGCGAACTTATTACCCGTAATTGATCTGTGGGCACCCAGTGGCGGTGCCTAACAGTGTCTCTGCATTGTGGGACTTTATTTACAATAGAATAAACAGGGAACTTGCATAAAATTTTAAATTCGAAAAAAATGCCTTAAATCATAACAAAACATAATTTAAAATATATATCAAACAAAAAAAAGTTGTTTTTGTCTTTAGTTTGGCCCCTAAAAACGATTAAAATCGAGAGAAATTCAAATTATAGCAGCCAGTCCAAAACGCGGCCTCATTGGTCGTGACGTCATATAGTCAGAATGTTCAAAGATTGGCACTATTAATTCATTACGTTTGACATTCGTTTACTTGTTATAGTAATTTTATGGTGTATTTCAGTTTTATAAATCTTTAGATAGTTTCGTGAACTATATATTTAATAATATTTGAGTGTTTTTGTTCAGATATTTTTTTTAAAATGACCGAAGAGGGTTTTTCCAAAGGCCAGTCTGATAACTTGCCATTGTAAATATGTTTATGGAATAGTGCACGCAACAATTTTCCACGGACGCAGTAGAGAAATTTGGTTTAGTACCAATTCCGTGATTAAAGCATTGTACTATCACTGATAATTCATTTACATAGAAACTTATCTGTTATTAAGTAGGTAATTAATGATTCCGCACTTCGTCGACTTACTCCATGGTCATAGAGTGCTTGTCGCGCATATAATGCAGCTGTAGAATGGGTTCAAGTAAAAAGAAATACATGATCTGTATTGTAAGGGCAAAAATAACACCTGAACATAATGTTAAGAAAAACAGTATGCTGTAAGTTGTGAAATTAATGAAGAAACCGAGAGAAGTACTTGATCTAAAGTGATCTTCACATACATGAAGAGCTTGAGCAGTAACTGAAATATCCTTCGACAGGCACGTAACCAGTTTAAACGCCGTTTTTTATCGACTGGTAATCTAATAAATATTTTGTTGGGGGTTTTAATGGTTGTACTTTTACACAATGGTACTAAACAACACTTGTAGTATTTACTTTTACTTTCCATAGTAAAAACACACACAATTCAACACTCTCTCTTCAAAAACTGTATCAAACACCAATATAAACAAAATAGTTTATACTTTTATACAAGACAGGAGACCTGACATACAGAAAATACTACCAAGTGACGTCACAAGGGTTCGCGCGCTTTTTCGATCGTTTGAAATGATTTTTATACACGGAAGATTTTAAATTTGTATTGCTAAGTCATTATGAGTTTTTGAGGCGTGAAATTTTGGAAATCTTATTTTTAAATGAAACTGAACGTTATTATATAATAAAAAAAATGTGCAAGTTCCCTATTGCATAAACTTAAAATTATTGAAAAACTCTTGGATCACTCTTTTTAATAACGCGCAGTGTATTATATTCAACGTGTATTGTGGACTCCGTGAATCAAAATATGTTGGTCAATGACGTAACAATATGTAACGATTTGATTAGTGTCTACTAGACTAGAAGTGTTCATAGAATTTTAAACACAATTTAAACAACATGAA